TTCTTCTTCTTTTTCTTCTTCTTCTTCTTCTTCTTCTTCTTCTTCTTCTTCTTTGTTTTCTCCTCCTTCTTTGCAGCAGGTTCAACAATAGGCTGTAATGAGGTAAAGGGCTTTGTAGACGGGACCGAGGCCACGACCTCAGTGGTTTTCCGAAGCTTAGTGGTCTTGGGCTAACCTGTGGAAGGAAAAGACTTAATCATAACAATGATATGATTTGAAGGGAGATTCAACCAAAAAAGAGGGGCATTCACCATGAGAATGAGCCTCCCACTTGCCTTAGGAAAGCTTGCGCCACTCACGCTCGGGATAGGTGAGTTGTATGCATATGCCCTTGACCCACTCCCTAAAACGAGGGACCGCGTTGGGGACTCGGGCGACAACTGTATGTCAAATAAGACAAATAATGAGAAAGAGCAGTAGATTCAAAAGAAGTACTTTGACAACATAAGAGGAAGTATACTCACGTTTTGAGTTCCACTTCATGGGGAACGGCAGGAACTCGGAAGGGATGAGGTCATCGGTCTTTATCCGTACAAACCTTCCCTACCAGCCTCGATCTCTGTCCTCGTCTATGCAGGAGAAGGGAGCTTTCTTTGCCCGATGAGCGAGCTTGATTAACCCCCTTTGGAAGATTCAGGGGCTGTAAACTTAGAGCAGATGGTCAACTGTGAACCGAGACTTCTCCGTGTTGTTAGCAAAGTCACAAAGAAGGGTCGCGATCCTCCAAAAAGTCAGGTCAATGGGCTCGAGGAAGATTTCATACATCTTGCAGAACTCGAGGATCACCATATCCACTAGACCGAATGTGAAAGGATACGTATAAACGCTTAAATATCTTTCCACATGCGTTGTGATGTCCTTATCGCAACTTGGAACAACTATGTCTTTTCCTTCCCATTTGCAGTCCTCTCAGACCACTTAGAGAGTCTCCTCGGTTATGGAGCAAACATACCACCACGCTTGCTCACCTCGGTCTCCTTTTGTGGAGGCATTTCAACCTTCAAGCTGTTATTTGTGGAGCAGCCTCCGAGGATGAATTCTGTAAGGGGAGGTCCCGAGATACTACCGGAAGTGCTTCCTCGGTGCCTATGGCCAAGGAAGAAGTCGAAGGTGCAGTATTTTGGGGTACCTATTTTGAAGTCTTAGCCATCTCAATCTGGAAATATGAAGGTTTGAAGGTTTGGTATGAAGTTTTGAAGATTTGGTACGAAGGTAAAGTATGAAGGTTTGAAGACAAGCGATGAAGATAGGAAGATGTGAAGAACAAGTTATGAAGATTTGAAGGATTGATGAACAAATGGAAAACTCGAGGGTAACTCAAGAAGGTTTGAAATCAGAAAGTAAAAAAGTGAAAAAAGGAAACCGAAGCTTTTATAGGGAAGGAATAACAATGCATGACGTTTCAGATTCTGTAACTGTCGAGGATGATCAACCGGCGACTGACGCATGTCAAAAATCAGAGCAACGTGACTGATGGGACATTTCAGCTCGTCAACTTGCTTATTGTGTACGAAGGAAGGAACCGGGGTCAACTAGTCACTTCTCATCATTCATATAAATCTACTATTCGAGAAGTGAGGGAACTATCTGTGTACGGGTAAAATCGGGGGATAAAGTTACTCCCATTTCCCAATTACGAAGAAACGAGGAACAACCTGATTCGTCGCAACAACCTGATTCGTCGCCGGCTCGGATAAAACCGAGTGTGCCCGCAGATCAGAGCCCGAGGGTGGATGAATGATACATAGGGAATTGAGCGTGGCCAAAAATGGGAGAAATCAAGCTCGAGCGAAACAAAAAATCAGGGTTAAAGGAAAGATAGTTAAAAATAGGGCAAACAAGGAGCAAAAATATCCGCCATCATCCAGATATTACGGTACGAATCATTTCTGATATTAACTACGGATTGTATTTTCTTGGTAAAAAAGGAAAGAATATTTTTTTACCTTGTTTAGACTTGTATTAAGGTTGAAACTCCTTTATTATATAAATAGAGGGGAACCTTTTTATTTTTTGGGTTACTGTTGACTCGCATATCAAAGCAATAAAGTTTACTTTTATCTTTTAGCAATCGTTCAAGTGTTTTTCAAGTTGTTCATCCATTCAGTGTGGTAACCGAGCTCCATTCTGAGGGCTCGATGAGAATTGGTCCTTAGCATACAAATCTAGCGTTAGGCTTAATTATTTCGTCATATTTGGTTTGATCGTTTTGCTTTCCTTTAATCCAATTACTTGTGGTTCTTTGACTATTCATGTTAAATTAAACCACGATCCTTTAAACTGCATACAAATTAAAGGATAAACAAAGTTGACGTATCTTATTTCTAGCACAAGAGGCATATCATTATGGTAAGCATTTGGGCTTGGCTCGAATTGTTTTGAGAATTAGTGATTATATTTCTCTTTATTCTTTCAGCTTTGTGTCTTTTACAGCAGCAATAACGAGTAACGATGTAGTAATTTTCTCCAGATATAGGAACTGAATGCCAAGGCACAATTAAGAAGCTGGAATGCTTCAGTCATTGGCTTATCTTTCGTGAAACCTTTCCAATATTCTCAAAGTTCTCTTCTGTCATCACTGCTGCTTTTCAAAACGAACTCCACCTTGAGTTTAAGACAAACTTCCTGCCAATATGACATAAATTTATAATTTAAAATATATATTATTAAAAAGGAAGGAAAGCAAGAAATTTGGCCATAAACATAATAATATACGTGAGAATGCCAACTGATGAACTGAATACTAATATTACTTCCCCGATCTCTCTCTTTTTTTTTTCCTCTGCAACCACAAGCCCAACGATATACAACTTGAGTTAACTAGTTAGCAACACAAAACTTAGCCAACTTAAACAAGACAATTCTTCTTCACTAATACTCATTCAGTTTTTATTTTATTTCACTGAAATTTCTAAAATATTTTTGTAACAAAAAAATGACTCAACTTTGTCCAAGTATCATAGAAAGTCACTAAATCATTTCTTGTAATAAAAAAAATCACTCACTCTGCCTAAGCATCATAGAAAATCACTACATAATTATGTTTTAACCAAAAGGCTATCATAGAAAATGTCACATTAATTTCCTCTTAGTGACTTTATTTGATACCTCGCAAGAGTTGAGTGGCTTTTTGGTTACAGAAAATAGTTCATTTACGTTAGTTATATTTAGGTAAAGTTGAGTAATTTTTTAGTATAAAAAATAATAACTTTGAGTAATGAAGTAAAAATTGAGTAACCACTAATATTAACCCCACAACGTGTTGTAAACAAACTAGCGATAAGGAAGCCAAGCATATCGATCATTGCTTAGAACATATAATAAAGTTAAGGAACACTACAATACAACCATCAAGTGTGGTTACACATCTTTATTTCATAAAAGCACCAACACAAAGCAGAAAGACACACAATACTCATTATATGCAATATCAATCATGGTACACAGAAAGATTTGGCCTAGGCTCAAAATCATCGGCGAAGGAGTTTTCTTGTTTAAGACCAGCGTCATCATCATGATATTGAGTTGCACTAGGCCTTGGCTCGGAGTCTTTCGTAAATAATGATTTCTCAGCTTCTTTCAAGTTGGCGTCGTCGTGGTAGACAGATAGATTAGGCCTTGGTTCAAAGGCTTCACCTCCAATAGAAGATGATGTGTAACAATCAGTTTTCTCTTTGGATTGAAGAACTGAATGCCGATGCATAAGATTTTTGATTGCTTCAGGCATTGGCTCATCTTTCATCACACCTCTCCAGTATTCTCCAGGGTCTTTTCTTGCATCAGTGTTGTTTGTGTACTGCCCGAGAAAGAGAGACCATACAAAGACTTTTAAATATATGCATTATGAAATTCTTTACTTTCGAGTACATAATCTATATATACTGATATATATGCACAAATATTTGGTACATGCAGGGGCAACTTAGGCTTTAATATATGGGTTCGGTAGAATCCAATAATGTTTGCCAAATTTCTATGTACGTATCAAGAAATACATTACGTATATAAAGAAATTAAATCCAGAACTCAGTTATTAAAAGTTGACTGTCCTAAAATAAAGAACCCACAAAATTATAATATCAGATCTACCTTTGTAGGTACCGGGCATGTAAATATTTATTTAGTATTGGCAGATAGAGTTCTATGTAAAATTCTAGTGCATTTTGAAGACAAATGAATGGTCTGTTTAAATAGGTTAAACGCCTCGCTAGCTAGATGGGCTTAAACGGCTAAGTTTGTGCAAAAATAAAATGTTAGTAATGCTCAAGAAGCAAAGCATTCTTTTTAGACAATCGAAAATATATACTATTTCATCCGTTTCAATTTTAAATGAACCTATCTCCTCTTGATTCAGTATAAACCCATTTCTTATAAGGAAACTCTTTTAATTTTAGGATGCCCATATTACCTTTAATAAAAGGTTTTCTAACCACACAAATGGTACAAAATTTTTAAGACCACAGGTTTTAATAATATCTTATTGCCACACAAATATTATGGTATGTTTAAGCTTACAAATTTCAAAAGTTTTCGTCTTTTTGACAACCTCTCTATCCAGTCAAATAGGTTCACGTAAGTTAAAAGAGATGGAGTAAAAGTTAAATAATTCAATTGTTAATATCTGATATGAAAAGATATTGTAATCCGAAAGGCAAGGCAGTTGAGAAAGAAGGGCAAGATAGTGCACCAAGAAAGTAATTAATAATAAACCACCAAAAAGGAGGCCCATAATTAATCTTCTATGAAAACTTACCAGGGCAAGTGAAAAGAGCAGGATTAGAGCAACATGCGATTTCATGGTCACTTCACTAGGAATATGTATGACTCAGAAGCTATTGTTATTGATCTTTGCTTGAAGCATATTAGGAGCTTATATAGACAGGTTAAGCTATTATATGATCATATTGCAGGTAACAAGTTATTGTGAAGCTTCAACATGATTCACACACTATTGTAGGACCGATGAGAGACGTACAATAATCATAAACAAATAGGAGGAGGCCCCTATTAGCTTTTTGACACATATATTATTGGTGACCAAATAATTTAAGTAGGCTCCATTAGCTCATAAAAAATACTTCTGCCTATTCGTGATATTGCTTTTCAGTATCTAGGATAGTTGTGAAATATTGAAAAATTTTGTTGGACTTATGCTAGATCATTATGGGCTCCTACAACCCAAGCGCTATAACAAGCCAATCATGGCATAATTCAGTAAAACATGCTGCGACAAGCAGCCCGCTCCAATCATAAATCAATAAAATATACTGCGGCGTGCAGCCCGATCCCATAAATATCCTCACCATCAGGCCCTCGGCCTCACTCACACGCCAATCTCTCTAGTCTCTCGGGCTCTCAATGTCATGAAAAATCAGCCCAAAAATAATGATGTGATGTATCAATAAACGGTAACCGAGATGAGATACTGTGATATGATATGCATATGAATACGTATGACTGAGTATGTAATGCAATGAAAGCAAATAGCTCAACAGCAGAAATAACCGCAGTGGGTCCCAACAGGATATGCATGTAGCCCTTGACATGATTTCTAACATGGATCACAACTAAATAGCTCTAGTACATAAAGATTTCATGGTTACAGATAAGATCAGGTAACTACACAGTACTTTAGGAATAACGGAGTCACAATTCACACGGTGCACGCCCACACGCCCATCACCTAGCATGTGCGTCACCTTAATACCAAATACATAACACGTAATTCGGGGTTTCATTCTCTCAGCACCAAGTTTAGAAGTGTTACATATCTCGAACAAGCCAATTCCAATATCGAGCAAGCAAAGAGACGCTCAAAACATGTCATCTTGCGCGTACCGACCTCCGAACGGCTCAAAACTAGCAAAACTTTTTGCCATGGGTGATTTCCTCCACAATATGCATAAGGAGGATCAAAAGTAGAATTGCCAACATGAAAACTCTCATAATTCCAAGATGCCATGCTTCTAAAATTAATAAGTAAAACACAAATAAAAAAATCAAATACAAGAAAGAAAAAATAAAAGTTCAAACTTGCAACCTAGAAATATGTACAACTACAGCTACACCGTTAGTTCCCCGACAACGACGCCAAAATTTGAACACGCCAAACTATGCCTTATAAAAAGGACTAAGCGGTCATTGCAAATATAATCTGGTTTACAAGTCCGAAGTCGAATCAGAGAGAACTAAGTTTTGCTACAGCTATTTACTATCACTAAGAAGACAAGTTTGAACAAATTCTGAAATTATAAAGATTGAGATTTTATTTCTATCTAGTTAAAGTAGTATATTATAACTTAGAGATACTACGGGTTGGAGACAAGATTGAGGAGAGGTCTAGAGTTACGATTTTCCCTATTGTCGGAATCTCCCCCGCTATGTTTCCTATAAATTCGCCTAAGTATTCTTTGTTATACCCCATTTTAACACGGGTCAAATTAGAGTATAACATATTATGAGCTTAATTAAGAGAATCGCCACCTAATTATTTTAATGGTGAAATAGGACACCAATTTTAGCTAAAGTGGTGCTCAAAGTTAACTCTATTTTATGGCCTACTTAGCCTTTAAGATTATGGGTAAGGGTTCTAATTAATCCTATAGGGAAGGTTATAAAAGCACCCTACATGATCCGTTAATAACGGTTAAGCTGTCAAACTTAGATTAATAATTGAAACAAAGATAAAATGTGTAGATGTCTAGTATTTCTTAATAGAAATAATTGGTAATCAAGATTTTCAAAGTTGACAATAACTAAAGATAAAATGAGTGTGTAACTGGGCACTATATATGAGAATAATTAACATTAGATAAAATGAGTTTTGGACTTGTAAAACATTTCAAGGATCAAAAAAAGACCCATGCTTGTTCTTGTTTGTAAATTCCACGAAGAAATTATTTTGATGCAAAAGTGTAATATGTCTCAAAATTATTGTAAAAATGATTTTCAAGTTGAGAGCAAAAAAAAAAAAAAAAAAAAAAAAAAAAGCTCAAAACAGGGACTCGATTTGAAATACCCGTCAAAAACAATTTATGCCATAAAACAAAATTAAAAGCATTTTACCCGAAAGCAACTAGCAAGTAAACGAACTTTAAACCTTCTTTGACATGTTAGGCGTGACTATTAGTAATATGGTTATCTATTGATTTTAGCTTTTACCCTATGTGTACATATATTATGATACGATACATGAGTACCCATTATTAACTAAGTTAAAGACCTCAAATAATTAAACAAACTTCATTAATAAGCCTAAATTAGTCATAGGTTTGAATATATAATCTCTCAAACTCGAGATAAAATCCAAACTCATAAGAACATTAAAAAAAAAGAAAGAGAGAGATAAATGCATGATAAAAGATACAAAGAAGAATGCCATAGGCATCCCCAATCGCTTCGCTTGTTTTCTTGATGTCAGGTGCATTCGAATGATGTTGGAATATATATGGACTCTATCTGGTGGTGATGAGAGTCCATCTTTGCGAGTCCCAAATTAAGACTCCATATGCGGGTATGGGAGTCTATCATTAAGACCCCATTATGCTCCGAGTGTATATGCAATAGAGAAAATAAAAATAGAGTTAGAAGGAACTTAACTTTCAAACAAACATAGGAATGAGTAAGGCGACATACTATGAGTCACACTATGAATTCTAATAAACAACAAACGATTCGTCATGTTAAAAATACTATACTAACAGATTCCTGAGTCAAACACATCCTCTATTGAAGTATTCAAACAAGAACGTTCAATTTTCTCATTTAAAGTTTAACCAAAGTATCCTAAGGCAAGCTTCTCTAAGTAAGAGTGAAAATAGCATAACTACATCAACGCAGTTACAAAGAATTAATACATAATATTTAAATTTCAACATAATATATGGAAAGATGTCACGACCCAAATCTACCATGTTGTGATGGCGCCTAACGTGGAACTAGGCAAACCGATTCTTTTATCAAAACAATCCGATAATTAAAAATAAATATTTCTTCAAGCCATTTAATTAATAAGACATCATAAGATAAATCCGAATAACATAGAGCGTAATGAAAAGCCCGACATCGGGGTGTCACAACTCATGAGCATCTACCAAGGACTGTCTGATAAAAACTAAGACTAATACAGTCTGAAAAACAACTAATAATATCTAAAGGAAGATAGGAGGGAGAAGAACAAGGCTGCGATCGCCATGCAGCTACCTTGCTAACTCCACAGATCCGCGGCGGATGTAATCAACACTCGCTAGCACGTCCAGCAACCCCTGGATCTGCACACAAGGTGCATGGAGTAATATAAGTACGCCAACTCAGTAAGTAATAAAGGTAAATAAAGACTGAGCAGTAAGAAACACATAAAAACCACATCATGAAATCTCAGTAAGTACAACATGCTTCCAAATCAGTATGTGAGTCAAATCATCTCGTGTTAAATCCAGTTTTCGGTAAAAATCATTGAAGATATCTTTCAACAGTTTTCAATAGAGGCTCAATGCAATTGATATTAAAAATGATGAAAATCATAAACAGCCTCTTGGACACAACATCTGTGATGACCCAGCCGGTCGTCTTAAGAATTAACGTCCCGTTCCCCTATTAACTGCTTTTCCCAAGTTCATTTCTGCTATTTTGATTTGCCGGGATGTTCGGTTTTAAGTTTCGGAGAGTTTTGGGACACTTAGTCCCTAAATGAGAGCTTAAATGTTGGAAAGTTGATCATAGTCGGAACAATATGAAGACGACCTCGGAATGGAAATCTGATGGTTCCGTTAGCTCCGTTAGGTGATTTTAGGGTTAGGAACGTGATCGGAATGTATTTTGGAGGTCCGTAGCTAATTTAGGCTTGAAATGCCGAAGGTTGAATTTTTGAAGTTTCCGGTCCGATAGTGAGATTTTGATCCGATGGTCGGAATGGAATTCCGGAAATTGGAGTAGCTTTGTAGTGTTTAATGTGACGTGTGTGCAAAATTTCAGGTCATTCGGACGAGGTATGATAGACTTTTTGATCGAAAGTGTGTTTTTAGAGTTTTTGAAATCCTTAAGGTTGAATCCGATGAAAAATAGATGTTTTGATGTTGTTTTGAGAGTTCCGAGGGTTGGAACAAGTTTGAATGATGTTATGGGATATGTTTGTAGGTTTGGTTGAGGTCCCGGGGGCCTCGGGTGTGTTTCGGGTTGTATCGCGCTCTTATTTGATGTTTCAACGCCGTTTCTTTGGGCATAAAGGGGTACCATATTAAGCAAATGAGCTCCAAATTATGTTTTTATTGAACCATTAGATCCGTATCGTAATTATGGAGCCATAGCAAAAAGAATCGTTGAATTTGGACATCGTATGAGGGAGTTATGCTCATTTCAGTGTCGGGAAAAAATACTGGTTGTTGTCATAACCGCAGATGCGGGAACGCAGATGCGGTCATTTGTCCACAGATGCGGGACCGCAGATGCGGTCATTTTTCCGGAGATGCGGTCATTTTTCCGCAGATGCGGAAACTGCTGGAGGCAGTGGGGTTCTTTTAAAAATCGAAGTTTGGCTCATTTTCACTTCATTTCTTCCAGGAGCTGCTTTTGGAGCAACTTTGGAGTGCCATTTTCATCACAAAGCACGAGGTAAGTGATCTCTACTAGTTTTTGAGTATATACAAGGTTTATATATGGATTTAGACATGAAAAATTGTAGAAACTTGGGGTTTAAGGGAAAACCTAGAAAACTAGTATTCTTGGATTTTGACCACGATTTTGGGTATGGCATTTAGAGAAAATCATATACTTGAGTTCGTGAGGCTATGGGTAAACTTTATCTTCGAAAATTTTTGAATTCCGGGCACGTGGGCCCGAGGGGCATTTTGGTCATTTTACATAACTTCGCGTATTAGCTTTGAATTAAATTGTAGAAT